TCATAACGAGTATCGGCCATGGACCACAGATCTGCTACCTACTCGAGATGAGTGAGCAAGAACAGTTGGCGTAGCGAAGGCAGTAGATTGAAATACTTAACTGTCCGACACCCCTAAGTGAATGTGATAATTGATTATTACATTATTTCATTTGTGCTAACATTCGAAACCACTGTGTAAATAACTTAAGGTAATCAACAAAATTCAGCTTTTTAAATTATCCACAGTAAAATTTTAATTTATTTCAAGCCGAGCAGTAACCGGGTCTTTATAAATTTATTCCGTTCATGCATGATCCACATGTGACTTACAATCATACTTGAGAATGCCAGCAGACTACGTGCAACATGATGCTCCCTTCTTTCTTTGTCATTGTATAAAGACTGCAAACACAATTCAGCTACTCATCAGTGAAAGAGAAGCTTAATTCCGGTTTTTCACTTTACAATACGACTTATTCGACCGATAAACAGGTTGACACAAAACTTTACTTCTTTGATTCCGGCGGCAATTGTGCGAGAAAAATTTACGCATCAGTTTACAGATGAGTCTAAATCAGCATGGAATACGTTCGGTCTATGAATCTGGTTGTGGGAGCTATTCAAATCCAATTTTCGAAGTTGATCAATCAACAATCGGAAATTTGATATCACGGTTTTACTTTACCATGAATGATCAGCGTTCGCGAGGTCATTTACAAAGAAAGTAAATTAGTCAATTTGGAATGGTCAGATCTGATTCTGATCCTGTGATTCGACGACAAAAAGGAGCTGAATGCTAATCTCCCTCTCAATTTCTCCAGTGACACGGGATTCTGCTTGGGGTCATCTCAGATCCTTACCTCTAGTGGATTCCGTGAGCCATAGGTGTGACGTGGTTTCGATTTACAAGTGCTATAGTCTACTATCAGAGTTACAGGTGAGATCTTGGTCAGGTATCCATATCGGATTACTTTATAAACTGACCTGATTTAATTGAATGATCTGAATATTTTTTTTGTACATTTATATTTGTCGCACTAACGTCATTTGCAACACTAAGCGAACTTGTTTGGACAGCCCTTTCAGAACCACTCCATTTACAAACCAATACTGTTTTTAACTGAGTTAGGTGCTACCAACGGAACGTGACGTGACTTGGGCGTCTTTGTTAAACATTGTACAATGAGTAGTACACGAATGACTCGACATAATTTCCCTGACAGCACGGTTCTTGCCGCTCGTCAGTTATACGTATCTGCCAATTCATCCGTATTCTTGTGCCCAGAAAGTGTATTTTCGTCGCATTTGCAACACCGGGTAAATTTGTTTATATGTTTATGTAAATTTAACAAATGATAACCGTGATTTTTACTCGCCCTCAATGAGAAATTTATCACACAAGATTGACTTAGGTACTTCGGCTTTTTCGTGAGCTCCTTTGGTTAAATTCGCGTGATCGGCAATAGAGTGATCTGAATTGCTCCCACAACTACTCCAAATGTGAGACTAAAAAAAGGGCCTATTTGCTCACTCGTCGGTCCGGTTTGTTTAGCCACCCTGGCAAACTTGGCGCAAACCATATAATCGAAGGGTAAAACTAAGGGAAAAATACCGACCGGTCTATTGGGTGAATCGATTCATAGGTGGCAGTTAAAAACATACTCCAGGGCTGCAATTGTTAACGTGGTATGTGGCTCTACGATGAAATAATCTATTTCCCAACTGAGTAAATGTAGAAATAAATCAATAATTGTGTGAGACATTTATTGTTGACGCCCTTCATGGGACTTGATAGGTTCGCGTCCGCTTTCGGCGTTAAATTTGCTTGTATTGAAAGCTTCAAACCTACATAAAGCTCGCCACACTTTTGGTGTGCATGACTACGTGACCTTCTTATTTATTCCACGTCCGAACTGTGTTAAAGCTAATCCATTAATGTAACTGTATAAGTAAAATGTAGCAAATTAAAAATACTTTCTGTAAATATCAAATTTTAAAAATCATTTGTCATTATATGTATTCTGACTCTCTTCGTTCTTCAGAGTGTGCTGCATGTCGTTGATATCATTTCCTTTATCTGTTTGGTCTCCCGTTCCCGGTCAGTATCTTCAATGTCATTCTACCTAATATGACGTCAATTTATGATGGCCTTAGGTGGGGCTTGTTATCCCAAATCCCAAAGCTATGATTTAACACTGGTCATCCACACTCTCGTAGCAGTAGTTCCTCATATGCGGACATTTTACCGCAAATGAATTGGCAAACCGCAATTCTTTCTTTTTTTTTAATTTACTTCCTTTCATTGAGTATAAAACGACACAAATTTGAGGAATGGTGAAGCGGCCAACCCAACCAATTCGAAAAGGAAATAGTTGGGTTTTAAGCCTGGGGTTGAATTCCCCATAATGTAAGAACAGAGAAGTAACGGAGAGTTTAGCTAAAATTGAAGTCGTCAACTTCACAGAAGATACGAGATAAATCACGAAGAAATAAACTTTTCCAGACTAAGAACAAATTTAACGATTTATCACCTTCGAAGCTACAGTAGAAACTGTGACGTACTTAAAAGCACAACAATGAATTCGAAAAGAGAAGCCAGAAACTCGTATTTGCACAATGTAGCCTAAATCATTTCGCTGCGTCTGCACACGCAACTCCTGCAGTTTAGCCTATCATTCTTACATATGATCGGAAAGTGCAGAATCTTTGACCAAGACAGATTGCGATCAACATTATTCACGAAACATATTTGTTACCAAGGTATCGACAGAGTGCTTAGTCATTCACGTCATTTACCCACTTTGTGAATGGTAATTTTGGAACAGATAGTACCTATTTGCAGAGCCTGGTGTCATTTATGCTCCAGAGGTTTCTGAATGCGTTCCTCCGTATGACACAGCTTCGTTTCGACCAGGTTCTGAGTGATGGATGAACTGATCTTCTCGATAACGCAGATTTCTCTCTGTCCTTCCGATGTAGATGGTTCAGCATCCATACTAGAATTGATAGGCTCAGTTGAGTTCGGTCTGGTGAACAGCAGTTCTTTCCTCGAGGGTGTTGTCGACCAATGAAATGCATTCAGTCAGTGCAAGCTACTGCATTCACTGACCTGTTTGTTTATCCCACCTGTTTTTTTCTTTTCCTCTCCCTGCAGCTCCAGCGTGAATCGTTGGACAGAACGTGATGAACCTAGCGGTCAATCAATTCGATCGCATCTGGTAGAGCGAACTATTGAAGGTGCGTGAATTGAGGATATACGCATGTGACGTTACCATACAGCCGTTTCATTTGTTTCTTTAACAATTATCAAATTATACGGCAGCACGCATCTGTTCCTGTTGTTCCTGCAAAACAGCTGCTCCTGTCAGTAGATGCATCTCATAGTTATCGTTAATGCTGAATTATCCTTTCATTCATGCACTCCACATTCTACCCAAGCATGCCCCCACGCACGCGATTTCCATCGGCACACACGGAGATAAAGCAAAGGGACAGTTTGTCCGTCTCCGCCCAGTCGTAGAGCCAAACTGTGCTTAACTGTACACGTGCTGGTAATGAGTCATCTGAAGAGAGGGCGGCCCGCCTACCCTCACTCACTACGGGAGTGGTGATGGTCGAGATTCGACCACACCCTAACTGTATTGTGATAGTTATTCATGGTTTTGTTTACGCCCCGATTATTGGTTTATCTAGGAGCTTCCCATGTCACACCCATTAGTAGGAGTATATACTCTGTCCGGTTTTGCTCTTATTTGTAGGCATATTCCCCGACGGATACATAAATATACCTTTGTGATTACAAATGCGAGTGTGTATGTGACCTCAACAAGCTTACCGGTGGGAAATAACTAAAGGAAGCCGACATGTTCGGTCTCTTTGAATTCCAGCCCGCATATTTGCCCCGCTGATGCCATTCCTGTCAGGATGAGAGAAAGAGCTTAGATTTGGATAGCGCTATGTGTAGTTTGATCAAGGTTTTTCCTCTTGAGGTGAGGTACCTTCGAGCACCAAAGAGTGAATGAATTTAGCGTATTCACGCACTTGTAGACTATTCACCTTGTGACCTTTGAATGCCCCGCGAAGCAACTTCCTAACGTACCATTGTTTCCGGCATGATTGTGAACTAATTGTGTCTATCATTTGATAGCATATCTTCTACCGGATAATCCTGAAGTTCTGTGGCAGCTTGAGCATAATGTGGCTTGTGAAAACTAAGAGGTCGTTTGACAATATTTGAGATTGACTCTGGTTTCACGGTTCCGGGAGCGAAAAATCCGAACCCCTATTGCGAAGAGCAGCTCATAAATGGAAAACGGCTCTTTGCTTTCCGCCGCTTCCCGCACACAGATAAATGCATTGCACTCGGATAGGTGCGGTACAAAATGATGCATTAAGTTGCAAACCATATGTTCCCCTTTCGGTTTACTTACTGAATATTGTTAACAAATCAAGTCAAGTCACAGATCGCTTTATCCATCGAAATGGATGGATTTTCAGCTCTTTGCACACAGCACGATCATTCAGCATTGCATACAGTCACAGGGAAAAAGTGAAGTACAGCATGGTGAATTCAAGAGGAATGTGGCACAAAATTTTGGAAATGGATATCTTTTGCGCAGGAAATTTAAAACGTTTTATCTAACGGATGCTTTTTGTGCCGGAAATCTTGAAATAGATGGGAAGGCGGGCAAACGGTGGGCAGTGGTACGAATATACACATGTTTATAACGACATCTAATTACAGAATTGGATACAATTTGTTCAAGTTCTGTGCGTAATGGGTGAGTGATGTTTGATAGAATGTAGTTGCACAAGTTCTCACATGAGATAAAATGTTTGTCACCGATAAATTTAGGAACTATCTTTTGTGCACAAACTAATTTTAATAGACTGGCGTAGAATTTTGTAGTCTTCAACTCGAAGATCGGCAACTAAAACTGGGTAGCAGTAAAGAAGATGAGTAACCACACAAGAATATACAAATCGGATGAGTAAATACGGTGGAAATTTTGATCATAAGCGGGAACTAAGCACAATCGTCAAATATTTTTTAAATGTGTTTAAGTGTGAAGTCCAGGTGAGATCTTGGTAGATAGTAACATCGAGGTACTGCAGAGAACGTACTGGTGGGAGATACCGGCTGTCAACAGAAAGTAAAGAACAATTCCTTTCAAAAAATGGTGCTGTTTACCTTTAGTTAGTGATAACGTGATATCCTTGCATTGAGAGACATTGGAAGATAGTTGGGATTACGAATACCATTGGCTTAAGGCAGATAAACAGGTTTGAAGCTGTAAGAGATGAAAAACATCCAGGAATTCGGAACATATGGTGACATCATCAGCATACTTGCTAAGAAGATCATCTGGGTCAGTGGGTAGGTCTTGTATACAAAATGAGAGAAGAAAAGAGGATGGTATTGCTCCCTGGAGCACCCCTGAATTGAAATTTTTCCAAGAAACTTCGTGAAGTGTGTTCGACCAGTAAAATAATCTTGGAGTAGAGATAGGGTGGTGTGGGACAATCCAGCACTCTGGAATAGACAAAAGCCTCCCCCTGTCGACACAATTAAAAGCACTACTATGGTCGAGGAAACACACTCGAAATACTGTATCATGCATGTCTAGGGATTTCAGAACTGATTTACCAAATGTGCAAGGGCGAAATGACTGTGATCTAACTGCCCAGTATTAAGAATGATATTAAGAAGCATAAAAAGGTTTCAAAATTCAGAGTTTTTAGTAAAACAGAAGTGCAGGCGATTGGTCGAAATCTCCCGGCTTTCTTTTTGGGACTGGTCTGATGCGCGTAGGTCTCCAACAATCGGTAATTTCCTCGAAGTAACGGTTGGTTGTACCGGCAAGTGGCTCAGCCAGATAATATGCACATTCCCTCGAGATGACTGAACATAACCCGTTGGGACCGGAAGCCTTTGATATTTGGAGGCAGATCATCTGTGCCCACACCTGCTGAACTTCACGACGGTCAACTAATTGGAAATATGATTTCGATACTTCAGTTTGGGTTAACGTGGAAAACACGCAGATGTGTTCAGCTATTGTGATTATAGGGACCATGGGGCAGCAGAGGTCAAAGCAGACGTTTAAATTGCTAGTATGGTGATCACACTCGACCGAGACATCTGGATCAAATAACTGATCAAAATTTGCAAGAGAGACCATTTATCTTAGTAATGTCAAGTTGGCAGGGTCGCACAGCCTATGGAAAATCTTCCGGCTGGATATATGTATGTGTTGGTGTACCATGATGTTCCTTTGAGTAGACTTTTGGCAGAGCATTTATAATACAATGATCGGAGTTTGCTAGAGAGAAAGTTATTGTGCGTTTATTTGATCCCGTCCAATACCACACATTTCCCCTAGCATATGTTGATTGGATTCGCAATTAAAACATTTCGCATTTTTAGGGAGACTGTGTGGATATTAGAGAGGCTAATGCTTTCAATGTGCAATAACACAAACCTACTTCTAATCCTCCATTTTCCATTTCTTTTCTAATCAAAAAGCATGCATACACAAAGATATTCAGGCGAACTGATCGATTTTGTAGATCTCTGTATCTCTCAAACTTTGTCACACAACTAAATACACCTTGCTGGAGACTATAATTCAAATGCAGCTGCTTGTCTGCACGAAACACGGGGCACCTGCTGTGCAATTGCTCGCAAGTCCCGTGTAATATCTATTTCTGCCGAAAGATTCGAACTGTAAAAATTCCGGCTTGAGAAGCGTAGATATCGAACCATGAGGTACATATTTTCCATGGTCAAACCTGAAATGATTGTGATCATATTCAAAGTGATATATGATTCGTTTCGTTCATTTTCAAAGCTACGAGTGCTATATATCCACAAGACAGTGCCGGGACGAGGAAAGGGTTTCTTCTTACAAATGTGACTAGTACTTCACAACACTAGAAACCGGTGATTGAATTTCAGTGTTTATTCAGAGGAAAGCTGCTAAATCTATNCAATAATTAGTGATTTTGAAATACAACAGACTGGATAGTGGGTCACATATTCCAAAAGAACTATGGTTGCATTTTTAGGTGATTCGAATTAAAATGCGTTTTTTTAAGTAGAAATGTAGTGGTTATTCCAAGTAGTATATTGATTCGGAATATATATATATATATATATATATATATATATATAAAGGGTTCAAAATTGCTAAACTAGTGCAATGGTTTTATGTGATGAATATGACTGATTGATTGTGACCTTGTGTCATGTAGTTTGGATATGTTCGCAGTCGACGGATAGAGTAAGCTGTCATACTTCCGGTTTATGGCCCTGGGTCATGCCAAAGGTCACGGTCGTTTCAGTCGGTTGTGTCAGGTTGAGGTCAGGGTAAGCAAAGTAATTAAACGAATCTTTTTTTAATAAAGGGATGGACTGATTACTATTAGAATGGAGACCTAAAAGGAATAATAATACAGTCTTTTCTGAATACCACCATGAGAATATTCCATTTATCATTAGTCAGATTCTGAACGTTGCCGCCCGAGTCATAGCCATGAAGGCTAGTGCTGAGATGAGCGGCATGTAATGCTGCCAGCAAAACTGAAAAGATGTATTATGTTACGTGGTGTGAAGGCAAAATGAGAAACGGCTTGATCATCTGCCCAGTGCTCAAGTGGGTAGAATGCTTTCGTTCTACCTGTGAGGTCCCGGGGTCAATCCTCGATTGGATCAATGATTTCGCACATTGTTGAGACCCAAAGGGTACAACTTCGTAACTTTTTACCCAACGCCTTATTTAGTCTAGGCACGACGAAAATCACCTGATAATCACAAGAAATCCTCAACAACACCTAAAAAATAATGATGCTTGCAGATTAGTGATGTCCTGATGGGTGTTGTGTTCGCGGGATACGTTGCAGTTCTAGGGCTTCTTTTAACAATTTTTATTTGACTCAGATTTGTTTTGAGTAGACTGATTTTTCACCTCATTCGGTTCTAGGTAGCCAGCTACTTTCGTGTAGCTACTCGGACAGTGAGTTGCACCTAATCTATATTGCATGCTTCTTGAACGTACTACTCGTGGGTAGCATGACTTGATATTCGTATGCATAGTGCATTTTCACAATCGAACTCGTCAACTTGGATGCATGTGCATAGTGAGTAGGATGCACACAGAGAGATCATGTCAGTTTGTGCTGCTACCCACTGCAGTTTCCTCCCTTTCCACGATATACCCTATGAAATGTTGTCCTGTTGCATGAATCACTTGGTGTTGTACCGTCATCTACTACTGGTGAAAGAAACAATTCATTGATTTATTCAATCTTTGCCCAATATCAGGTGATAAAATAAGTTCCGGACAAAACGAGAATTATTCTCGCGGTCAACTAGCCCTGACGGAGTGCGCTCAAAACGGTACATTTATTGAGATCAGCAACACAGGCAATTCAGTAAGTATTATTGATTTTCCAACCGGTCATCTCATCATCAACCCATTTGATTGAAGCGCCGTTCTTTCACCAACGAATGTGTCTATTGCCATCCTTTGTTTACAGGATGTTGCTCTGTCCGGCTGGTGCCTTATCCGAAATATTGATCACGGTCGAAGCATCATACGGTACACTTTTCCCGATCGTCGAATTCCTCCACACCACACGTTTCGAGTAGGTTCTAAATGAGGTAGAACGTTTATTCATTTTGCAAGTTCTCTGTGCGTACCCAGTAACATTTTTCATTCCAACTGAGTCATTGGAATTCTCGAGTTATACCTTCAATATGTTTGTGTGGCGTATCCTATCATGTTATTCTATCCTGTTTGTTTCTGTCTATTTACCTATGATAATTTCACTCAAGCTTATTTTCACATGGTGATGCTTGCATTCCACCCTGTTGGGATCCATGGCTGTTTTATGCAATTTGCGGGTAAACGTGCCGCAGGTGAGGTGGCAGAATCCTGTAAAAATGAGAAAAGAGTTCCGCGAATACTCACTCGGTCCAGAGTAGAAGGTTGACTTGAGGAACCTGACCCCGGGAGTGCAACAACAAAGCAACGAGGTGGCGTTTCGGGTGCGAGGTGGATTGGGAGTCAGCATCTATTCAGACAGATCATACACCGTGTGGATGAGTCCCTCAAGCGAAGGGTAGCCATAACACCTCATTTCCGAAGTCAGCCGTTAACCTTGTATACAGATGTGGTAACTGTAGTTTATGTATCTCGTCTCAGGTGATTGGAAATCAGGGTTTTCTAGTTTCCTTTGGCGATCCAGCTATCCAATCTCTCTCCAATCTCGTTTCAACCGTGTAGTTTAGTTGTCCTTTCTCTATCGTTCACAAAGTACTCCTCTCACGACCGGATAGGGCTTGCGTCAAACATGGTGGAGTCAGAGATATCGTGATTTTAGGCGAAATCACGAGAATAACCCAGAAGGATAGTATTGTTTGAAGCGAAACACTCATCTCAGAATATATTGGGTTGCTGGGGCTATTTTGTATTTAATTGGTGACAGTTTCAAAGGTAATGTAGTCAGTTAATT